CCTTTTTCTCCAGGACCCTAACTCCCGCGGAAGTAAACTACCCAGAAGGAACTACTGGCAATCAAAGATGCCCTGGCCAACTGGAGGCATCTCCTAGAAGGTGCCCGACACCCCATAACCATCTTCACGGATCATCGCAATCTACAATTCTTGAAGGCATGTAAAACCTTGTCCGCTCGTCAGGTTCGCTGGAGCCTCTTCTTTGACAGATTCGACTTTCACATATCTTATCGGCCTGGTCCGCAGAACGTGAAAGCCGACTCCTTGTCTCGTATGAAGGAAGACGGAACTGTTGGTTATCCTCCTCTCTCAATTATCCCTCCTGAGAGATTCATCGGATTGACTACTGGCTTCAAATGGCTACTCCAACAAAACATCGCCCAGGATGTATCCCCTCAACCCAGTGGCCTTAGACAAGACCCTGAAGGTCTATACCTCAACAAAGATAGGCTCTACGTGCCTCCTCTGCTACAAACCCTGGTTGTCAAACAACTCCATGACAGGCCTTTGGCAGGTCATCCAGGGGTGTCAAAAACTCTAGACCTAGTCAACAGAAATTTCTGGTGGCCAGGGATGGCTAAAACTGTTCACGACTACGTGGTCACCTGCGAGATTTGCGCTACCAGCAAACACTCTAGAAGACCTCCATTTGGGTTCTTAACCTCCTTACCAATCCCCAACAGACCCTGGGAGGCCATCTCTCTCGACTTCATAGTCGATCTCCCTAGATCAGAAGGAGCTAACACCATCATGGTCACGGTGGACTTGCTGACAAAGATGGCTCATTTCTCCCCCTTAAAGAAACTACCAACTTCAACGGAGACTGCACACACCTTCGTTACTCAGATACTCAAACTACACGGCTTGCCCTCTCTGATCATCTCGGACAGAGGAAGCCAGTTTGTTTCCAGGTTCTGGAGGGCCCTCTGCAAGACCCTACACATTGACCATCGCATGTCTACTGCCTATCACCCCCAGACCAACGGGCAAACAGAGCGAGTTAATCAATCCCTGGAGCAGTATCTCAGGTGCTATTGCACCCACCTCCAGGATGACTGGTCCCAGTTACTGCCACTCGCTGAGTTTGCTTACAACAATGCTACCAGCACTTCTACCCGTGTATCTCCTTTTTATGCAAATTATGGCTTCCATCCGAACAGCCTGCCCTCTTCTGTCCTCCCTAGCCATGTTTCCTCTTTGGAGGACTACCTCTCCACCTTAAAAAGGACCTCGGGGATTCTACACTCCAACCTAGAGGCAGCGCAGGGGAAGTAGAAACGCTGTTATCCTGTAGGACTGCGCCTCCTTCATACCAACCTGGCGATATGGTCTGGCTTTCCCCCCGAAACCTGCGAATCAACGTTCCCTCGAAGGAACTCGACCGCCTATTTGTCGGATCATTCCCCATCGAAAAAATCATCAATGCCAATGCAGTACGCCTAGTACTACCCCCGGACTGGAGGATACACTCCTCGTTCCACGTCTCTCTTCTTAAACCCTTCCGGCCTAACCCATTTCCAGACAGGAGTTCCCCTCCGGCTCCTCCGGTTGAGGTGCAAGGCGAGGTGGAGTACGAAGTGGAGAAGATCCTGGACTCCCGTAGATGTGGTTCCTTCCTCCAGTACCTGATCAGATGGAGGGGTTACGGACCCCAGGACGACTCCTGGGAAGACTCGGGAGACGTGCATGCCCCCCGACTAGTACGGGAGTTCCATTGCAGATACCCAGATCGACCGTCTCAGACGGGGAACCCCGGAGGTGTTCCCTTGAGGAGGGGGTTCTGTAATGGCAACCGCCGTCAGCACTCACCAAGGGACCAGGTAGTGCAGGATTCCGCCGCTTCTCGCCGCCGGCCGTCTGCGTCCCAGGGTGGAGCGCACACATCCACTTCCGGGTTCGGACGCCGGATGCGTTCCACCGTGGGACGCGGAAGTGCGCCGCCTCGATCAGCGGCTCCTCCACCAGCCCTTAGCCCTATATAAGCGCCCCAGTGAGACAGTATGGCGTTCCACTATTGAAGACTGAACGCCTGCTGTCTCCTGGGACCCCACAGCTCCCCTACTCTACTACAGCCAGCTACACGATCCTTGGACCGAATCCTCTTGGACCCCCAGCACCTTATTTGCTACAACCTAACCGCAAGTACTTGTGCATACTGCACTTCAACTTTACCATATTGGCTGTGTATACTGGGAACCTGGACTAACTCCTGTGCTCCATCTACTGGGCTGTTGGGATACTACACCACTGACTCTAATTATAGCTGCAAGCACTCCTGCAACTCTTTTGTCATCCCTAACCAATACAGATTCCTGGTACTGTTATTTTGAGATTGAGCATATGCAATAATATCCCTATCTAAACTTTATACCTTGTTATTTTTTTGGCTGTGATGCTTGAACCCTAACTCCCCGTTAAGATTGGGAGTGAAACCAGGGTTCCGTCTGAGTAGCCTCCGCAGTTGCGATCCACAACCCCAACTCAAACCCAGGTGTTACACCTTGTTTGTCTTCTGTGATCAGGATCCTGGCTTTGCAGGAATCCCCTTTCGAACCTTTTGTGGGAGATTCCGCTTCTGACCCCGTCTCAAAAGGTGGCCTTTTTGGTTGCGATCACCTCCGTCCGCAGGGTTTCGGAGTTGGCGGCTCTAACTTGTTCGTCGCCGTTGCTGGTCCTGCATCGGGACAAGGTGGTTCTGCGTCCTCGGCCGCCCTTCTTACCCAAGGTGGTTTCGGCCTTTCATCTCAATGAGGACATTGTCTTCATTGAGCACGCCCCCTTCTTGGTAATCCTGGGTTACTTGGCAAAATGTATCCCTCTTAATCTGCCTTTGTTGTTCTGTATACTTTATAACATCCGAGTCAACTTTTTTCAAGTCAGTCACCAATCACTCCTTGTCCATTAAGTGTGAGTTCCAATGCTGTGACCTCACGGATAACTTGACACAGTTGTACTTTAACTTCTTCGATGACAAGCAGCATGTCTGCGTGGACACCTCACACCATCTCACAGAACTCTCTTTTGTGGGACCGATTGTTGGCTGATTAGTTATCCTAAAGCCTCTAGGTATTTTCTTGGCTCTATAATAATCAGACAAGGTTTGACCATGCAATTCTAAATCAATATGTTTCTTTTTCAGTCTCTTAATCTCTTTGAGTAAGTCCGAGGATGGATCCATGCCAAAGGCTTTTGCAGTGTCGTAGGGAACAAAATAGCCTCTATCTGTTCATTGCTGTATGCGCCTGTATTGGCAAGTGTAGCAGAGCGTGCTTGTTCCTCCATGGATAATTTGATCGTTGAGCATAGTACAGATCTGTAGATGTCATGTAATGTGTAGAGATAATCTTTTTCAGGTTGGACCTTATTCAGGGGTGCAAGAAATGGGTAATGCCATAGTCAAGCAAAAGTGGATAAACTCATCGCACTCCTGACCGCTCAGTCCATAAACAACTGGCGAGTGCTGCGGTGACTAATGGATGGCACCTGCATGTACAGGTATTCAGATAGGACACCGGCACTCTAAATTAGATAATTAAAACATCTTTTACTGATGTACGTGCAGCATATCACATAAATGCAACGTTTTGGGGTCACGCAGGATCCCCTTCCTCAGGCAAAACCCATGATACAGTAAAAGCATGAACACACATTTAAATACACAAGTGCATGACTCTAAAAACCAATCACAGCACTTCACTCCCCCCCCATGATGTCACAATGACGTTATGATCCTGCCAGAATTCCAAAATTTTCTATGAGAAATAACGGGCTTATGGCAAATCATTCTAAATGTGTATGTTAGTGTGTCTGTTCTAAAACCAACGTAAATGTAAGAAGGAATTGTGACATCCTGAAAACGGTTCAAAGTAAATGCAGAAGCATACCTACTAAGCACTGGGCTGCTTGTTTCTAGGACCGTCCTGTGTCTCAGGTAGGCGTGGCTCCCATATTTTCAGCGCATCATCTGTCAAAGTTCTTGTCTCTACAGGTTCTGCTCCGCCCCGCCTGCTGGTTGGTCGGGGCGAGCTACACACGCCTATAGGGTTTCGCACTTATGTGATATGCTGCACGTACGTCAATAAAAGGCGGTTTCTTCAACTAATTTGGAGTGCCGGTGTCCTATCTGAATCCCTTTTAAAGAGGTCCTGTCCCCTATAATGTGCGATCACATCAGGGGCGCTTGTTATAGAAATAATATAAGCTCCTGCGCATTAAAATCCACTGCGCTAAAAAGCACAGTTCTCAGCTCTCTTTGTATAATTTGATCGAGCAAGCTCATCGGTCCCAAGTAAAAAACAGACATGAGCTGTTATCACGTTGGATGCTCAGTATATAGTCCTATCTAATGCATTGAGATCTGTTTATTTGTAGCATACAAAGGGGTAACAACAGACAAAAGGTGGCCCTAACAGCCAATCAGTTCATCAACATATTCACATAACACAGAGTCAGCCAAGGAGACACATGTATACATTTAAATAGACAATAGAAAAGGGAGTGTATGTCCTTGCCTGTGCAACGTGCACAGCTCTCAGCTGTTAGTGCATGTGAATTCCGTGCACTCCAGTTAACAATGGAAAACCATGTGCAATGGAGTTCCCGCCAAAACACTACACAAAGGAACCTGACACAGAGACATGATCACATTATTCACATATCCAATATACTAAAAACACATCCTAATAACATTTCCACAACAATGGATTCACAAAAGACAGAAGTTGGGAAACAAATCTGCTTGACTGATGGATTCGTCAATTTTCGTCCCTCCGTTAAAACCCCAATAAACACTCGGACTATTTATGAGGAAGCAATAAATTAGACCAAGGAATGGCTGTGGATACTTGGACTTTGCAATAGCATTTGACACAGTTCCCCACAGATGGCTAATGTGTAAGTTAAGGTCAGTAGGCTTAGCATATTCAGTCTGTAATCGGATAGAATACTGGCTTAAAGACTATATTCAGAGAGTGGTGAATAATGATTCATACTCTGAATGGTCTAAGGTTGTTAGTGGTGTACCCCAAGGTTCAATGTTGGGACCTTACTGTTTAACCTATTTATAAGTTATATAGAGTTTGGGATTAACAGTACAATGTCTGTGTTTGCAGAGGACACCACACTATGTAGTTAAATACACTTCTCAATAGATGTCTCCAAACTTACAAGCAGACCTGAATACGCTGTTTCAGAAGAGGTGATTAACCTCTTGCCGTCCGCCCGTAGTAAAAAAACGGACGGACGGCACTGCAGCATCTGCGGGTTGCCGTCTCCAGACGGCAATTTTTTTCTGCGCGCGCGCGCAGCGGGCACGCACGGGCAGAAAAGACCCGCTCAATGTACACATACAGCGCTGCATGACGGAATAAATGTCAGTTAAAGTACCGCAGCGCTGAATACTGAAAAATGGCCTGGATGGGAAGGGGGTTTAACACCGCGGATGTCAACTGGTTAAAGGGAGATATGATAACCATGTAAACATACATAGATGGTCCATATAGTGATCTTGGTGAAAATGTATTCACTTAGTAGGTCACTGCAAAAGGACAAAGGGGCAAACTGAACCATGTTTTATAGGAGTTGATTGCCTTCCACTGGGTCAACCGTGGGTAACTGTGCGCATAGGGTTCTGTTTAATTAGATTTTTCTATTCTTTTTTTACCCTATAGGTTGAACTCGATGGGCTTGTGTCTTTTTTTTATCCTGACTAACTATGTAACTATAAAACATGCCGATACCTATTATGCTCCACTCAACTAAAAATTATAAATAAGTATTTGTATTTTCTAAATATACATAAAACATGCATCTGTGGATCTCAATTATATTGGATCACTATACAAAAGTCCCATGTGTTAAAAACATTCAAGGCGAACCATGAGGTGAGTGCTTTTCACTCACCTCATAGTTCTAGCCGACCTGTGACAATGAGACTGTCACAGGTCGGCTCAATAGATCGGGAGGTGAGCGAACACATACCGGGTTGGCTCACCTCTCGATCCTGTCATCCTGTCATGGCTCCCTGCCGTGACAGGGGAGGGGCTGGATTCCCCTCTCCCCGCTCCGATCCACCAGCGCTGACTGGCGGAACGGACAGGGGAGGGGGCTGACTGGCGGAACGGACGGGGAGGGGGCGGGGACAGCTGGCTCCGCCTCTAGATAGGCAGAGCCAGCTGTCACTCACGCAGCTGGGCAGATCTCGACATCGATGTCGGGATCCGCTCCGGCGTCTCAGTATACCGCGAGCTGTAGCTTGCGGTATACTGAGCCTAGGGTGACGGGAGGACGCTAGTTTGTGTCCTCCCGTTACCCTAAGGAGAACTATGGGGAGCTGGATTCCCCTCTCCCCGCTCCGATCTGCCTGCGCTGACTGGCGGATACGACGGGGGAGGGGGCGGGTACAGCTGGCTCTGCCTCTAGATAGGCAGAGCCAGCTGTCACTCACGCAGCTGGGCAGATCTCGACATCGATGTCGGGATCCGCTCCGGCGTCTCAGTATACCGCGAGCTGTAGCTTGCGGTATACTGAGCCTAGGGTGACGGGAGGACGCTAGTTTGTGTCCTCCCGTTACCCTAAGGAGAACTATGGGGGAAAAGCCCTGACCCCATAGTTCTTCTTTAATCCCTGATTCAATCTTCAAAACAATTGTGATGTGAATCTTCCCAATCACCAACATGCTCCTTATTGTCTCCAATCTTACTCACCAGATTTCCAGGGCTACCTTTATTCAGGATAAGCCATATACGTTTTAGGTCAGCAAGATAGTATCCCTTCTCCGTGTTGTCTCGCGAACAAATTCTTATTCTCGGATCTCAAGGAAGATTTAATTCCTCTTCTCCTCCTCCTATATATATCCTATATATATCCTCTTAACAGCAAATAACTTTCCAATCTTCCAGTATGCATAATCAACTTCTTCCTCCACTCCATACAAAATGATATAATGCAAGAAAGATTTCAAAATCTCAAATTGTGTAGTATTTTCTTAAAGATGTATTGAAAAAACAAAGCACACTTACAATTCAAAGAAGTAAAATCTGACTCCTCTCTCCTCGTAGCAGTGTGTATCAAACAGGTAGATATCGTATGCCCCACCTTGACGTGTTTCGTCACTAGACTTCCTCTTAGGGTTGGCAAGCATACCTTCCTGTGTTACTTCTTTATTTTGGAAATTCGACATAATCTTAACTGAAGTGTTATAATACCTGTTAGCCACTAGATGTCATCCTATTCACATTTCTATCTTTAATACTGCTCGTGAATAACATTTCCAATATCTTATATTTTTAAAACTCACAATGCTTCATTTAATCCTAAAATTATAAAAATTCATATACAAATATATAGAAAATATTATTCTTCAAGTATTATAGTCTATTAATCTCTCACCATATTGATCATAGAGCAGAAAATATTCAGAAGTATATATATTGTGACAGGGTATATGACTCGGTGTACGTCAGTGAGAGATTGAAAAGGGCACCTTTCCCTGGCTAGGACGGAGTTAAGCATTGCCCCAACAGGAAGAGACCCAGGCTGCACTGGGTGGATGCAGACACAGACTAGAGTAGGGCTGCAACAACTAATCGACATAATCGATTATAATCGATTATTGAAAAAGTTGTCGACTTTAGAGAGAGTCTGAATACCTGTGGGATAAGGGTCTGGCTAAAAATTGTATGTTTAAGACTGTGGTTCTTTATGCATCTTTTTTTGTACTGGAAGCTGGAAGTAGGTCGGGGAAACTACTGTTAAACTCCTAAGTTGGAGTAGACCTTTTTATTTTGTGTTACTGCTGCCGGAAGCTGTTTTGTTTAAAATGGAGCAAACACCCTATTGAAAGAGACTGTTTATGTTTATTTGCAATAAATCTGCATATACTGCAAATTCCTGAGTACAGACCAGTGACTTTCTTACAAGTGGTGGCAGCAGTCGGATTCATTGTTGTACCAATCAATCTCTCACAGTGGCCTTAAAGGTAGATGACCCCAGAAATCGAGGATATTGTGAAAGCCCTGGAACAAGCTGTCACTGTGCAGCAAGAGACTAACAGGCAGAAAGCTGCCTCAACTGCAGTGCAACAAGAGTCCAACAGGCTCCTGGCTTTGCAGATTGGAGCTCTGACTGAAGCACAAAAAGACCATGCGATGCTAAAAGAAATGGACCGGATGACTGCCCAGGGATCTCCTAACCCAGGCCTCAAAATTTCCACTCGCCCCCTCGCAATTGTCGAGTGAAAATTGCGGGGGGGGTCGAGTGGAATGTCAGCGACACTGGCGGGACCAGGGATGGGACACTACCGCCGCGGCGATCGCTCGCTTCCGTTCTCTCTTCTCTTTCTCGGCAGCTGCAGCTACAGAGCGGCCGAGAAGGAGAAGAGAGATTAAAAGTAAACGCTTGCCGCGGCGGTAGTGTTCCATCCAGAGCCTCAGAGAGGCGGCTCTGATCACACCCATTATCGCTCCCTCTTCTCTTCTCCAGGCCGCTCTGAAGCTGCAGCGGCCAGGAGGAGAGAGAGGGAACGCTGACAGGTGTGATCGCCGCCTCTCTGAGTGCTCACCTCGTGAAGCTGCAGCGGTCGGGAGGAGAGAGCGGGATCACTCAGCAGTGTGAATGTGATCAGAGCAGTCTTAAAGAGGCCCCCGTCCTAGTCCACATCTTTTGGACGTTATTAATCTGAGTTGCCCCACTCAGTATGCCCCTCGCTTGCGGCCATATTGAGTGGGGCACTCATATTAATAACATGCTGGATTAGTCTGACCCAGGGGTGGAGTAGGCCCGGGGGCAGGGTGCAGCAGCAGAGCAGCCGAGAGGGGAGAGTAAATGCTTACGGCGGCGGTGGGGGGCGTTTGCAAAGGTATCAGAGAGGCTTGGGGGGCAATTGCCACCCTGCACCCGGGACCAGTCCGCCCCTGGGTCAGACTAATCCAGCACGTTATTAATTTTAGTGCCCCACTCAATATGACCGCAAGCAACGGGTATACTGAGTGGGGCAACTCAGATTAATAACGTCCGAAAGATGTGGACTGGGAGTGGGGCCTCTTTAAGACTGCTCTGACTTTAAGACTGCGGCGGCGGGGAGAAGCGAACAAGAAGCTCCATTGCCATTGTCTGTGCCCTCTTCGATTGGGCTCCTCGGCGGCCACAGCAGTTTCCTCCGCCCACCTCAGCTGCCATTGGTGGGAGAGAAAGACTGCCGAACCGCATTTGGCCGGCTTCTGCTGCGCGGGAGAGAGCACCTGGAGCTGGCTGGATGTGCAGGAAACCTCGCTGCTCCCCCACCATCACCAGGAGAAGAAGAGGTCAAAGCAACTGTAAGTCCCTGTACTTTCTTTGTAAACCTCTGAGTACAAGTAAAATAAATACAGATACGTATTTAATGTAATAATTATATATATATCTACATATATCTACAATCCTTGCATCTGTGCAGGGAGGAGGCACACCATCATTCCCTGGTTATCATGTGGTGATTAATAAGGTCTAGTGCAGATATTACTATCATCAATCATTCGGCTGGAGCTCAGAACTGACAGAGCTCCGGCCAGAGCTGACAGAAGTAGATCTGCGGTCTGCACCGGACAGAGATGCAGACCATGTAGCTGCTCCCACAAGTCGGGCACGCGGTCCGTGACCATGTGCCCGACTAGTCAGTTGGCTGCAGGCCACATAGTACCGGCTCGCGGGCCGGAGTTGGCCCACGGGCCTGTACTTTGAGACCCCTGCTCTAGACCAACTGTTCCCTTGCCTATGTTTTCCCCTCCTGATCTACCTTCAAATCACCTCATTATCCAGTGCTGCTGTGTTAATTTAGTAGCCACTTCTTGCCCAGAATGCCAACTGGCATCTCCAAGACCGATGTTGAGAGCCCCGCTCATACCTCTCCCCATAGTCTATGTTTCTTTTGAGAGGATTGGCATGGACCTAGTAGACCTTAGAGAAAACAGCTCGGGGGCACCAATACATCCTTCTGATCCTCAACTATGCCAACAGATACCCTGAGGTCATCCCACTACGCAAGGCTAATGCTAAAAATATTGTGAAAGAGTTGGTTCAGATGTTTACACGGGTGGGGATACTAAAGACGTTGCCCACGGACACCATTTATTTCCCGTATTATGAAAGAGTTGTGTCAGCTATTTAACGTAGAGACCCTGAGAACGTCAGTGTACCTCCCCCTGACAGACGAGTTGGTGGAAAGGCTTAACAGTATACTAAAAGGGATATTGAGAATAGTTGTTAGCAGGGATAGGAAAGATTGGGACTTGTTGCTTCCTTACCTGTTTGCCGTTTGGGAGATTCCCCAAAGTTCCATGGGCTTCTTCCCATTTGAGGTTTTATATGGCAGGCACCCCAGGGGTATACTGGATGTCCTAAAGGAAACCTGGAAAGAGCAGGGAGTAACCGGGACTAATGTGCTCCAGTATGTTGAAGATGTGCGGGTGCGCATGACTCAAATTGCTCCTCTTGTTTGCCAGCATATGGAGCAAGCTCAGAGTGTGGAGAAGTCCTACTATGACCAGAGAGCCACAGTCAGACAGTTTGGAAAAGGGGACAGAGTAATGATTCTAGTACCCACTGCAGAAAGCAAACTTCTAGCACAGTGGCAAGGACCCTATGAGGTTTTGGGAAAAGTGAGCCCAGTAAGTTATAAAGTTAGTCAGCCAGGACACCGGAAGAAAGAAGCTGTGTTTCACATAAACCTTCTTAAGCCATGGAGGACTAGAGGGACCTGGGTGACACAAAGCCTGATCCGCAGTCTCCAAGACCTTTAGTGACAATCTCTCCAGAGCTGACACCTGAGCAAATAGAGGAGGCTTGACACTTGGTGGAGAAGAATAGAGATGCCTTCTCCCCAACCCTTGACAAACCCGAGAGATTACCCATGAAATTGTTACAGAACCAGGGGTTACTGTAAGGGTAAAATCATACAGCATTCCAGAGGCAAAAAGGGAAGCTGTAAGGGCTGAAGTCAGGAAAATGCTTGAGCTTGGAGTGATAGAGGAGTCTCTCACAGCCAGTGATCCAGCCCGATCGTTCTAGTACCTAAACCTGATGGGTCTATCAGGTTCTGTAATGACTTCAGGAAATTAAATGAGGTGTCCAAGTTTGACGCCTATCCCATGCCTAGGGTGGATTAACTAGTAGGGCAACTAGCCAAAGACAGGTTTTTCACTACTTTAGACCTGACAAATGGTTATTGGCAGATCCCATTAACAAAGCATGCCCGGGAGAAGACAGCCTTTGCCACTCCTGATGGCCTGTTTCAGTACAGGATCATGCCTTTTGGCCTCCATGGAGGCCCAGCCACTTTCCAAAGATTGATGGATAAATTGCTCACGCCCCACATCAAATATGCAGCTGCATACTTGGATGACGTGATCATTCATAGCCAGGACTGGCAAAGCCATCTGGGCAAAGTGCAGGCAGTGTTGGACACATTTAGAAGAGCTGGACTGACTGCCAACCCCTCTAAATTTGCCTTGGGTTTAGCAGAGGCTAGATACTTGGGTTATCTGGTTGGCAGAGCATTTGTTAAACCTATAATGTGCAAGGTAGGAGTTATACAGAGCTGGCAAAGACCACTGAGGAAAAAACAGGTCAGAGCCGTTTTGGGAATTGAAGGCTACTATCGGAGGTTTATTCATCACTTCGCTACAAGGGCCGCTCCGCTCACTAACCAACCTTTACTGACATTAAAGCCAGAAGTCCAACACGGTGAAGTGGAACAGCAAAGCTGAGAAAGCCTTTGCTGGTCTGCGGGCAGCACTTTGTGCCCAACCTGTGCTTGTGGCTCCCGACTTTAGGAAGGAGTTTTTTTCTCCAGAACGATGCCTCAGAGGTGGGTCTGGGTGCAGTTTTGTCCCAATATGTGGGTGATGAGCAACACCCTGTTCTGTATTTAAGTCGGAAGTTGTTACCTCAAGAACAGTGCTATGCCACAGTGGGAAAAGAGTGTATGGCGATTAAGTGGGCAGTAGAAACACTCCGTTACTATTTGTTGGGCAGGCGCTTTACCCTTGTAACCAGGGGCGGACTGGGCCGGGGGGCAGGGTGGCAATTGCCCCCCGGGCCTCTCTGATGCCACCACGAATGGCCCCTTGACCCCCGCTGCCACCTGCATCCGACGCGGCCCTGCTCCTCAAGGAGGTGCTCGGGAAGCCCCAGCAGGGGGCCCTCTAACAATTTCTCTATAGCTAATGCCATTCTGCAATGCTGTACAATGTATTTCTGAGTTAGTGGCAGAACTACCAGGGTCGCAGCAGTCATGCACACGCACAGCCCTGACGAGGCATCCCTACACTACCAGTGTGCTTTACATTTCCTAAACCGATAAATACATTCACACTACTGTTACATGGATGGCAAAAGTGGCAGACAGGGACGGGGAGAAGGCGGGTGAAGAGGCAGAGCAGGAGGGGGGCCAAGTGGCTGCACCATGGGCCTCTGGGTTGTACTTGCCCCCTGGGCTAAAAATTGCCAGTCAGCCCCTGCTTGTAACGGACCATGCTCCGTTAAAATGGATGCACACCAACAAGGACAAGAACGCTAGGGTCACAAGATGGTTTTTGTCCTGACAACCCTTTACTTTTGTGGTGCGGCATAGGGCAGGTCTCCTTCATAGTAATGCAGATGCTCTGTCTCGGGTGCATGGGTTTACTGAGGTGGCCGCTTCCCACCTCTGTGTTAAGCTGGGGGGAGGATATGTGACAGGGTATATGACTCAGTCTATGTCAGTGAGAGATTGAAAAGGGCAACTTTCCCTGGCTAGGACGGAGTTAAGCATTGCCCCAACAGGAACACCTCCTCTCTCTATTAGCGAGAGAGAGCGAGGGAGAGAGCGAGAGACCCAGGCTGCACTGGGTGGATGCAGACAAAGACTGGAGAGCGTATGAATACCTGCGGGATAAGGTCTGGCTAAGAATTGTATGTTAAAGATTGTGGTTCTTTATGCATCTTTTTGGGTACTGGAAGCTGGAATAGCCGCTCCAGGAAGCAGTCGGGGGAAACTACTGTTACTTCTAAGTTGGAGTAGACCTTTTTATATTGTGTTACTGCTGCCGGAAGATGTTTTGTTTAAAATGGAGAAAACACCCTATTGAAAGAGAGTTTATGTTTCTCTGCAATAAATCTGCATATACTGCAAATTCCAGAGTACAGACCAGTGACATTCTTACAATATATACCTAAGATAGATTAACACCACCAGAAGAGAGTTAGAGAGTTAATATCAATTTACTTAGGGGATTCATTATCACATCGCTTGGAGGGGTGTTTCATATAATAAATAACATTTTTAGAATTATTAAGATTAGGGGGGCGCATGCGCGCAGCGGGCTGCGTCTTGATACTGCTCCGCTCCACCCGGACAGTCTTTAGCTTACATTAGCTGATTTAAAAGCTTATACCTGGTAGTGACGGACTGTATATTTGCCCCGCATCATCCAGAAGCAGACACTTCGCCCTGTTTTCAATATGGCGCCAGGCGACTGTGAGGGGGAAGACACACGCCTTTCTGCCGTTGACTCCAGTCAAGATCTCTTTCATGCATCTCCTGATCGGGAGCAACAAAACCAGGACACTTCCATTCTTGCTCAAATGCGGGTTATTGTTCACAAGGAAATTTCGACGGCCTCCCACCAGATTACGTCGGAGCTCCTCAAGGAACTCAAAGATATTGGCCACCACACCGATGATTTGGAAAGACGGATGGACGACGCCACCACGGTGTTGGAGGCCATGAGACCGGCATTGAGCATCTGCAGAGCACGCCGCAAATTCAGGGTTTGCCTGAAAGCATTGAAAAACTACGTGGCTCGGTGACTGCCTTACATAGTTACATAGTATTTGAGGTTGAATAAAGACATTAGTCCATCAAGTCCAAACTTCAGGAGCTGGTGCCTGACATCCCGCTGGAGCGGCTGGAAATGAACAGAGTCCATAGGGCCCTGTCACATAAGCTTGCTAATGGGCCCCCTAGGTACATTATTGTTAAGTTTCATTACTACGCCACTCAAGATCATATTATGCAGGTTGCTCGAGACTCCCCAGAATTAACTTTCCAGGGTCATGCCTATAAGATCTTTTCGGAGGTGGCCGCGATCACTATTGTCAAGAGGCGGAATTTGCGCCCCTACCTGCTGATCCTGCAAGCTGAAGGGATCAACTATAGATGGGGGTACCCGTTCCGCTTGATCTTTACTCATTGTAATGTGTTTTGCGTTCTCCAGAAGAGGTTCGTTCAAGCATAAGTTGGGACTATGGCTACCTGTGGAATCCAGTCCTTCTTCACCATCAGGGAGTGCTCCTGCTCGGGCAGGCCACTCATCGTCTCAGGCTTCATTGTCCAAAGTTACTCCGGCTCAAAGATCTTCTGCCTTGCAACGCCTGAGCTCTCAAGTTTTCCCACACACAGGACTAGGCTGATGGCCATGTCTGCCATACCTGGTTGTTTCTCTGGATGCGGGCTGGTATGCTTGCCTACCCGAAGAGCCTTAGTGTCTCTCTCCTGATGCGCCTATTGGCGCTTTGCTACTACATGAGACTTCTGTATCGGGATTTTGTTTTGTAGCTTTTTTTATGTCTTTTTTTGAAGTACCTGTTTTTGCCTTCCCCCTTGGCCATGCATATTGTATGTGTTGATTATCTGCCTGCTTTATACACTATATGCTTTGTACTTATGCGGCTGTACTTCCACCAATAATGCCTCCATTGTCACAAACTTATGGTTTAAATGTTTTTGCCCTCCTCCCCCCTTAATCCCCCCCCTAATCCCCCTCCTTCCTCCCCTCTTCCCCCTGATGTCCTTAATTAACATTGCCTGGTATTCATTATTCATTGTGCCTTTTTTCTATCCATGGATACCGTTTTATGTTTTATGACATTGGGGTCCAATTGGGTTGCATGCTGTCCCCTGTGCCTCGGGAATGGCCCTCCTATTTTTGGGCAGGCACTTAACTTTGTTATTGTTTATCCTTTTTGGGACATTGGTCTTTTTTTTTTCATTTGTCTTAGTTATGCATATTGTGAGTGTTGCTCATATGTCTGCTTTGAACATTAAGTACTATTGCGGAAACGCTTCCACCACTACTGCCTCCTCTCGAAGCAAGGGACAGCCTGGGGATTGGAGTAGATGGCTGGGAGGTAAAATGTACTTTATATGTTCACCCCCCTTTTTTTTCTCCCCCTCCTTCTTCCCCCTCCCCCTTCCCTATTTTTCCCTTCCTCCTCCCCTTTGTGTCCTCGATTATCACTGCCTAGTATTCATTATGACATTTTTTTCTAAACATGGATTCTATTACTATTATCTGATATTAAGGTCCAATTGGGTTGCATGCTGTCCCCTGTGCCTTGGGAACATCCCTCCTATTTTTTGGCGGGCCCTTCCCTTGGTATAGTTTGTACTTTTTGGGACATTGGTTACGCTTTGTATTGTTTTTTTGTTGTCGTTTTGTCTTTGTCTTTTTTTATTGTCTACCTCTACTTTTCAGTTTTTTTCTGTATTTGTCTGCTTTTTCCTATTTTGTGGTTGATGTTACCTTTTTTTTCTCTTGTCCCTTTCTCTTCATGGGGTCCAGAGTGAAGATACTGATTTTTTTAGCGCTTCCTGTTCTTATTGTCTGGATCTTGCCATCATTACTACATTTGAGCATACAGCACACCTAGTAAGAAATCGATTAATATATTAACTCAATGTTCAGGGCCCAAACTCCCTGCCTAAGATACGAGTAGCTTTTAACTATTTGCGTACACGATGCATTGACGTGGCATGCTTCCAAGAAACAAATTTCTCCGATTTCCATTCTCCTAAATATTTTTCTTAATCTTATCCCCAGGTGTTCTTGGCCTCCGCAACTTCTAGGCAAAGAGTAGAGTGGATTGCCTTTTGGAAAGGTCTGGGTTTTCAATGTACAAAGCAAATTGCTGATCCACAAGGTAGATATCTTTTGCTTCAGGGCACTCTGCAAGGCTCAAGTTACGTTTTTGACTCATTATGCTCCCAATGTATCCAACCTCATGGAGCTTCTTGATCATCATCAACGAGGTGTCATGTTTTTCTGCGGGGATTCAAATGTGGTGTTTAACCATGGTCTAGATCAGGGGTGCCCACAAGGTCGATCGCGATCTACCAGTCGATCGCGTAGCGATCACTGGTAGATCGCCATGTCCTCTCCTCCCGCCGCTTCTCTGGATCCCTGCTGCTCTCCCCAGCGGACGGTCCAGTGCGATCTGCAAAAATAGTACTTGCAGCATTTTTGCGGATCGCACTGGACTGGAACACAGGCACTAATGCAGGCGATCGCACTGTGGGCGAGGGGCCTGCCTGCGGAGCCTGGCTGCGGTGCCATTGACTTCAATGCACCGCCACGCCCCCTCCCGCCCCTGATTGCAGGTGTTTTTTCGTTGGTAGATCTCAATGAGCTCGTCATTTGAAAAGTAGATCTCCAGACGAAAAATAGTGGGCGCCCCTGGTCTAGATCGATCCTCTGCAACTCCTCTGACATATTCGTAAGTTTCAACAACTGTTAGAGACAGCTGGGCTTGTTGATGCTTGAAGAGTGTTACACCCATACACACGTGATTATACTTACTATTCCACTTAGCACAATACATTCTCCGGAATTTATCACGTCCTGATCCCAAGCAATTTCCTTCCTGCAGTGACAGACGCTACGGTTTTGACTGTTCCCTGGTCGGACCATGACCCAGTGCTTTTAGCTTGTGCTTCCTTGGGCTGCCATCATCAGGCATCTGGCTGGCTACTTAACGACTCCGTTGTCTCATGCCGATATTATGCTTTTGCTGCAACAGGAGATGATAATGGAATACTTTTGCATCAATAGGGATTCGGGTCCCCCTATTCTAGTGGTTTGGGAAGCTTTTAATGTGGTTCTTTATTGCATCTCGAAAATGGAAAGAGCGTGATGAGCGTTGCGGGGAGTTGGAACAGAAATAGTTTGTGTTTCTCAAGCCTTTAAGCAGACTCCTACTTCCTTCCTTAGGACGGACCTGGATAGGATTAGAGCCAAGCTTAATTTATGCATGACTGACGTTGGGGAGCGCCAACAGGGGTGGTCCAAGCAAAAATGTTATGCTTTAAGTAATAAGTCTGGCTCTATGCTGGCCTGCCGCCTTCGTTGTGTGGAACAAACATTTACTCCCATCGCTCTTAAAACTCGGCAACGTGCCCATATCAGCAACCTGCTCGATAGAGGAGTTTCGTTTCCGTCTGTCTCAGTTATATGCTGATTCAGGCTCCTTTTCGGACGACATGGCACAGAGATTTTTTAATAACATTTCAGTGCCTTGCGCGTCTTCTGAACAGGCAAGCCTTATGGATCAGGATATTACACTAGAGGTGACTGCCGCTATTAAATCTTTGAAGTCAGGTAAGAAGCCTGGAACGGACGGCTATTCTGTCTTGTTTTATAAAAAAACGTGTTGATCACTTGGCCCCGCATCTGGTGGATCTTTTCAAACACAATTAAGAATGGTCATTCCCTCTCTCTTGTTATGCTAGCTGCGAGCATTGTGATGTTGCCCAAACCGCATACTGATCCCCATGCCTGGGAAAACTATAGACCGATCTCCCTGTTAAATGTCAACATTAAAATTCTTGCTAAGATCCTGGCTAACAGGCTGAACCAGTTTCTAGGCCTATTGATACATAGAGATCAGGTGGGATTTTTCCCTAGACGCCAGGCTGGTGATAGTATTCACAGTGTTATTCAGCTCCTTCACACAGTGAAAGCCTGTTCTCCCAATCTATGCTTTTATCGTTAGATGTTAGGAAGGCATTTGATACTCTATTGTGGCAATATTAATTTTTTTGCTCTTGAGAAGTGGGGCTTTCCAGATCAGTTCCTCCAGTGGGTCTCTGCTCTCTATTCCTGCCCCAAAGAAGCACAGGTTCGCTATAGCAGTTTTTCTTCGGATTTCTTTTTCGATCCATCGGGGAACTAGGCAGGGATGCTCTCTCCCATACTTTTTGTTTTGCCGTTAGAGTATCTACCGATTGCCATTCGCTCTTCCCCCGATATAAGGGGAGTGGAGATTGCCGACACCCCCCATAAAATAATGCTCTTTGCGGAAGACATCTTGTTGTTTCTTTCTAACCCCCACATACAGTATATTTGCCTAATTTGTTCTCTTGTCTTTTCGGCT